AATTAATCCATTATTAATTGAAATGGTGCACTTGAAAGTCCAAATGGCATTCTTCAATATCGATAAAGACCCTTATATGAGTTGACAGAGGGATAATATTGATACGATTCATCCACCCGTACTTTAAAATATATATAGCATTGCTTAGGTATAATTTCTGAAGAATGAAACTTCAGATAAAAAGTGAAAATGTTATATTGAATTGGCAAAGGAAAAGGTTAAATGTAGGAATCTGAAAATGTGTTAAGGGTCACTTCAAAGTCACAACAAATTCGCACACACACAAATGCATACGTGAAAAAATATAGTTGATAATTCTTTTTGAAAATATGGATAGATAACTTCCGGTATCTAATTCCATTTTTACTTTTTCTCCTTCGTTTGTAAGATATAGTAATTTTGGTTTAATTGTATACTTTTAGGGCTTCTTAATCATTTTTTCTTAAAGCTGCTTTTCACATCTTGGCTTTGATCAGTCTTTAGGCTACTGAATAATACCCTTCCAGTTATTGAGCTCTTATAAGAAGTTTTAGAGATTTGCAAACTGAAGCCAGATGGCCCTTTATTGACATTCAAAAAGGTAGCTTCTTTAAATTTATATATCTCCGCATGGTTTATCCTATACAGGTTTTGTACAAATCCATTTTATCTCTTTTCTGCGCTCGCTATCATATTTCTACCATTTTGCTGAATCAAAATAAATATCTATATTATTTATTTAAAAAAAATAATATTTAAAATAACTACAGCCTCCATAAACAAACCTACCTTATATGCTCGGCCTTCAGTGGAATAAAGGTGAATGATGATTATAGATATCAGAATCATTTTAGAACACACAGTAAAATCTATGTACAGATATACTTGGTCAAAATATGGTGACCAAAGTTTTACGTTTAGATAATAGAAAAATTATATGTTGGATTTTAAAAAAATGAATTATTTGTGTATTATGCGTATTACGTCTATTAACTATATAATAGCCTTTTTGTAATGAATCAATTAATAAAGGTGTATTAATTACTCAGGGATATCTTGACTAAGGATCATTAAAAGATTTCCATTACTTTAGGCTGAAGTGTTACTTGAAATATACCATATTTGAATACAAGCATTCGTCGTTCTTCCAGAGGTTTTAAACTTTCTTCTACTAAATTGGTGACTCATATACATGAAGACACTTAAAGAAATTTTATATTTTTTATTAAATTAGCGGATTAAAAATAATGTATTTAAAAAAAAAAAAAAAAAAAAAGAAAAGATAAAATAGTTATTAATTGCCTGAAAAAAGTTGAATATTTCCCAACAAAATTATTGTTGCTGTATCATAAATAATAACTAATATTTTGCCACCTTGATATTTCTCTCCAAAGACCTAGTCGCTATAGGAACTGTGTTCTCTAAACCGACACACATCCATAATTACTATTTAATTAACTCCCTGTTTGTCTTTTTTTAGTCGTTGTCCACCATTCTTTTCTTTCAAATGTCGCCTTTAATTAGCTAACTACACATTCTGAACATTCCTGGCTCTTTTTCTTCCATGGTCCTAGCCTAGTGACATGGGCTATAATGAATAAAATTTATTTATACAGAAATAATTAGCGAAGAATAATTTCTTTTAACCATCTCTGGTAAATTATCTTCATATATTCTCTCACTTTTTGCTAATGGTACTTTTTTGTTATTTCAGAAGAATAAATATCTATTTTTATTCAGCTTAGAGAGGAGAACTTAGTGTTCGAAAAACTTACTAAAATTACTTAGCGCAGAATTTCAATTAAAAATATTTTTATTTAGCATCTCACAAATTAAATAATTTTATTCTTGCTTTAAAGTTGATTTTAAAAATGTTTTGCCATTCCTCTCAATTCTTTTAATTATGTTTAATTTAACTTATGTGTCTTAAAATACTTTTTTTTCACAGCATCAATAAAAACCCACCACAACTTATACTTCACCTCCTCCTTCAATGCCTTCCTCTACTGAGGGTGGACCATATGGTCTCTCCATATCTCCCTCCTTCAGTGCCTTCTTCTACTGAGGTTGGGCCACATGGTCTCTCCATACTTACTGCCATACCTACTTCTCCATACCTCAGCCATCCCCTTCATATCAAATACCATGTGTTACTCTGGGGCTGATGCTGTGTCCCAAGAATCTGCCACAGTCTTTGGTCCACCCCGGGTATTTCCCCGGTACCACCCATTTCTGGGAGACATTCCCCTATCCGCCAACTGGAGAGGCACCCGATGAGGGAACTAGCAGATCCCCCCCCACAACTCATAGAGACTAGTAATTAAATATGTAAAAAGTTATAAAATAGTTGGAATGTAGAAAGAGAGGAAAAAAGAAGATCAGGGCGTGTGATATAGTGAAATGACACCTCCTGATTGTACAGATTAAATATTACCGTTGACTTACTGCCAAACATTGACAAATATATAAACTATCTTTCAGATTAGTAAGAGCTCTGTAGAATATCTTGGAAAAAAATCAACAGATGTTTCTCAAATTTTCCTATAGATGGCAGTAAACTATCAGCATCATTCAGTTGAACGATTAGGTGTAATTTCAAAATTGTTTCCCATTAAAGATTTATTATTTCAATTATGATATTCTGACTTGGATTAAGCTAAGAGTTACATAACCAGAGGCCGGAACTACAATAATTACTCACTTCATACCCAAGTCTTAATTGTTTCCAATTTTAATCCATAAGTCGATCATTATGGAAACGTATTCGGAACAAACATATTTTTATTTAGACCGTTCGCTTATAACTGTGGCCCTATATTGTTGATATGATAATCACTTATTTCCATATAAAATTTTAGATTGAAATATTTTAACTGTAGGGGTTTATATATATGTGAAAAACAATAACAAATAAAATCATAAAAAAGGCCAGGTGTTGGTATTGATATCAAAAAAGGCATATCTTGACAACGCGCTCACATGAGCTTTTTAGATCGCAGAACGCCGTTTAAAAATTTCATGTGAGCCTGGTCAGGATATGTTTTTTTCGATTTTGATATATATTTATGTGTGTGAAAATAAGAAAATATAGAAAAATATATATTAAGGGTATAAAAGGTAAAGTGTATAAAACTATTTTATAACAGGTGAAAATCAACATATTGTGAAGAAAATTGGCACACTAGTAGTTCAAATAATAAATATGAATCATTTAATGTAATTTCCATTATCTGAAAAACTCGAGGCGTGTGCGAGAAAAAGCATAAGCCTTGGTGACGATAACCTCGTCCATTTGGTTAATCAACGTGTAAATCGTAACCTTTACAGACTTTCTGGAGCCCTTTCTTAAAGAAGTGGAAATAAATGACATCATTGTTGACGTTGAAGACTACCACGGAGGCAGAAGAACCGAGAGTCTGTTAAATGACAGACTGTCAATAGATGATGGATCTTTCTAATTGTTATTTTGAAGGAAGAGTTTTTTTTCAATAGAATAATATCCTCCAGGTAAAATATCTGCCATCACCAAGATGTATTCACCTATGACAAGAATTAGCGTAAAATACAAAATTCCTTTCAAGTTTTATGATGAGAGATTAAAATTTCATTAGAATAAAATATTGATCAGCATAAATCAGTTTTTATAAACAATAATCCTACACTCCACTACTGGTAACATCCATGCTCTCAATTACTATCACTTCTCCAATTTCTTGAAAACAGCCACACATATTTGTAAATTAAAATCAAAAAAGGCATATCTGTTGGATTTAATTTCCAAGCTTATTATCATTGATGGCATTTTATTGATATTTGACTACTCTGATGTTGTTGTAGTTGTTCGATAGCACACATATATTTTTATTGCTGTATTTCCCATTAATTTTTTCTTTCTATTATGTTATAATTGTAATGTTTGTATGATTAAATAAAATCACTAATTAAAAAACTCCTTCACATTAACAAAAAACTTTCTTCAATATCCCGACCAGGCTCACATGAGCAATTCTAGAAGGCAGATCACTATCTAGTGGGACAGAAATCAACTAAACATTGATTTAACCTGTTCCGTGATATTTGCCAACCCAATTTCTTGATAAATCAAGAAAAGTCTACCACGAAAGCGTTTCTTGAATTATCAAGAAATTGGGTTGTCCAAATATCAGGGAACAAGTTAAATAAACATTTAGTTTATTTTTGTTCCACTAGATGGCGCTTTGCCAAATGCTCATGTGAACCTGTTCAGGATATGCCCTTTTTTGATTTTAATAACAACACCTGGCCCTTCTTATATTTTTTATTGGTTTTTCACATGTATGTAAAAAGTAGTAAAATTTGAAACTATTAAAGACGCGTATGATTATTCGAAAAAATAAAGCAATTTCTATTGCCCTTACTGCAATGTAAATAAAAAAATATATTTTTGAAAGAATCATACGCGTCTATAATAGTTTCGAATTTTCATAACAGATGGCGCTAAATTCATCATAATGAAATTGTATATTGATTGTTCTTTTTAAATTGCATTGAATATTTCCTACTATTATTCCTAGAAAGCTTGGAGTCAAAAAGGAACAAGCAAAAAATTTGATATGATAAAAATCTACACACAGTTCATTTCATCATACAAACTCATCTGAAATAAAATAGCGTAATCCTATTTATTGATGAAACCTCGTCAATCTTCATTATAATAAAACTAGACGAATGACCCGGCTTCGCCCGAGAATTCCCCAAAGTGCAATTTCATCATACTGAAAGTACATCAATAATAAATAGTAGAAGTTGTTACTTCGCCTCGTATTTACTCCGCGTGAAAAAAAGTTCTTCATATGAAAAAAATAAATAGCCAAAAATACTAATCAAAATGTAGCCGAAAATTTCCTCAGGTTTATAAAAAGCGACATGCAAAATTTGGTACCAATTGGTTCAGTAGTTTTTGAGTTTATCGCGAAACAGACATTGACTTTTATATATAAGAAGATAATATAAATGAGTTTTAAAAATTGTAAAAAAAAAAATGCATCGGCCGGGAATCGAACCCGGGCCGCCCAGGTGGCAGGCGAGTATTCTAACACTGAACCACCGATGCTTATAAGAAAGGCCATATTTGGGTATTTATTCCATTCACAAAAGCAAACGATGACAGAATTGATTGTTGATGACACTGATACTTGTATATATGATAATCCATCTACGAATTTGGTTTTCTATAACTGGTTTATTGTGTCACATTTAATTTCCTTTATCATCGGGGGTCTATACGACCTATTAGATATATTGTAAATATTTGCATTCTATTCATGAACTGTTATTTCTACATCTCTAATCGTCTTGAAATAATAGAATAGTTATCTTTATTTAAAAAAAGACAAGCATGCTGCTTGTCATAATATAGTAAATAAAAATTCGTTTTAAATACAAATTAAGCATAATAATATACCTCTTTATCTAAATTGTATTTAACACACAATGCATTATGGAAATTCGAAACTATTATAGATGCGTATAATTCTTTTGAAGAAGTAAACAATTTCTACTGCCCTTACTGAAATGGAAAAATTAATGGGAAGGCCTGGCTATTTTTCCATTGCAGTAAGGGCAGTAGAAATTGTTTAATTTTGAAAAGAATCATACACGTCTATAATAGTTTTGAATTTTCATAACAGATGGCGCGCTAATGCATCATAATACAGTGCCTTATGTTCATAACTCAATTTAAAAAATGTAATTGGTGATAAGGATATATTTAGCCTATAAAAGTGAATGAATTTGCTAACATTTGATTATTAAAACTGAGATTCTATCTGGAATCAAACAGTATTGTGTTGTAAGTATATTCCGGGCCGTGTTTCCATTATCTAACCCACTGCATGCGCTGTGTTTGTTTTGTTACTCCAGTACCTCATCTCCTGACATTAGTCACTCCCTACTCAGCTATTGTCCTTTACCGCGCCCTCTATATTTACTCTTCTTTTTATAATCCGAATTAGATGAATTTCTAAAAAAGGATTATTGTGCAAGAAATCAATAGGTTTGAAAGTTGAAAAATATATGGGTATCCTATTTACTTTTATACAAAGAAATTAGATTTTAGATATTATGATATAGCCATTCCATCTGTCAATCCATCATTCATCATTTGAAATATCAAATTTGGCAAATGTTTTCTCTTTTATAAATAAAAGTTCCTACTGCCATTATTGCAATGATATATTTTGGAAGGGCCTATGTGGAAAAATAAACTGGCCAAACTGCTGAGGGTACACTACTGATGAGTAAAACCTCCCTCCCAATATTCATCGTCGCACAGAAAGAGTAGTTGAATTTTTTTTTAAATATGAAAGAAAAATTGCACTGAAAATAATTCTAAATTGAAAAAAGCTTTTATTGTCATGTTGATATAAAATTATGATTAAAATATATATTTTTCAAAGTTTAATGCTAAATATCTTATTTTTACTTTTTATAGAAGAAAGAGGGGAGACTTTCGAAAATTTTTCAAAAAATCCTTTTTTCATTAAAAAATAAAAGATTCAGCGTTTATAAACGATTTTTATTGATGTCTTGAATCTCATGTCTTATTCATGGGCTAATATCAATTTAATATTTAATATTTTTGTAGAATATTCATAGAACAATTTTAAATAGGAATCTATGTGTTTATCACCTCATTGAATCATTAAAAAATATTAATTTTTATTGTAGATTGTGAAAAAAGTCTGTAATAACAATTATGTAAATTTTGTAAGGATTTGACATCTAGTGGTTTTATTTTTATCTTAAGTAAAACAAAAGGTATTGTTTTCTAAACCTCGATAAAAACCCAACTATATCACTCTATTAAAACAAAGAAGAAATTTTATCGACAAGATGGTGAATAAAATTGAGAAACTGATATATATTGATGGTGAAACTGAGCGTTGCTGATTATTATCTTTCAAAATGAATATAAAAAAATCTTTATATATATATAAACAACAACAACAGTTTAATTAGTACATTTCCGTCCTGTAAGGACTCGCCATACATCATTTTCATGAAGAAAGGGGAAAAAAAGCATAAACAAAGGAGAAAAGTGAAAATGAAAAGGAAATCAAAGTATTCAACATAGCGCTATACAAGTTAACTATGGAAGGAAATTATTCTGTAATTTTAGTTCTTAGAGATTACCTTGTTCTCTAACGCTTTATGGAAGTTGAATAATTCTATCGCTGAATATTTTTTCTAGGATATTATTCTAATTAGCTGAACTGGGTTCACGTAGACTTGGATAATGCTCTTTAAGATCTTATTCCGTTCCTCGTTAACAATAGTGCATTCAGAGATGTAGTGGGTAATTTGTTCTATGTTTCAGTTTTGCAGAATTTACAAATTACATCTTCCTTTTTAATTATTTGAATGTGACTTTCTCTTAGTAAAGTCGAAGTGATTCTTGTTTGGGTAATGTAACCTTTTATGTCTAATGATAGGTTCCCCAGGATAAAAATTATTCAGGTATTAAATACTTATATAATAATTTATTATTAGAATATAATCTTGTATGATCCATTTTTGCTAAGTCCTGCTGAATTAATTGTTCAGTTTTTGTACGAAAAAATACCCTGGTAATTCGTTTTGAATGGTCTCATAGTCGATAGCATTGTTTGTCTAGGCAAGGCCGCATTGGTGGTAAATTGCTAAAATAGTCCTGTAGAGTCCGAAAGAGTTTCCTGTATTAATGGATATTTCCCTTAACCTATTCCAGCATATCTTGGGAAACCTATGGTTACTCATTCTTTGTAATCTTAAAAGGTGTTTCCTGGTTAATTTAGTGGTGTTTAGTTTAAGTGATATTATACTCGTTTCTAGTCTAACAATAAGCCAGGGGTATATCTTGGTAAATTGAGAAGACTTTTAATAAAAATATTTTGTAATTGGTCTATAATATTTGCATTGTCAACTTCCCAAATCGGCGCAGAATATTTATATATATATGTCATAATATATGCTCTTCCAGGAATAATAAAGTAAACCTACAGTCAACGAGAGAGAGACGTCGATAGAACGCAGCTAAAGTACGGTCATCTGGGCCACTGGCCACATTCCAAGGGGCGACCGCAGGGCATTTCTTGGAACCTCAGGTCTATTTTTGGTCAGTCGGGGGGTGGTGTGCGATACAAAAAAGGTCGTTCAGCGGTGATATAACCTCGGCTCCCTCTCTCTCGCTGGTTACCTGGGTTATTCCTCTACCAACTCGTCGTGTGATTATTTCTCTCCTCACCACATTATTATCACTATATTGCCACATTGAAAGTCGACAGGATCATATTACAGAAGAGTCGACAGGATCATATCACATATATATATATTGTTTTATTTTTCATATTAGCCAAACCCCTTTTATATTTTCTAAAAATATAATATTAGAGGTTTTTTATTAATCAATAAACGTGGTATTCAAGGTCAATTCCCAGGATGAAAATATATCATTAGTTGATATTTATTCTGATATAAGGTGCAAGCTAATTTTCAGTTAAACGAGCGAAAGATACATATTTTAAAATATAAACTGTACAATATGTCATATATGTGAATTTAGAAAATACATATTATTTCCTTCAGTATATGAATATTTTAAAGAGACACAAATATATATGAGGCAAAATATACGTCTATAAAGGGCTTATAGTTATAGATATTTAAGATGAAAGAATGAAATACAAAGAAAGAGAGAACATAAAAACAATGTCTTTTTTTTTGTTTTTAACAGGTTAATAACGAGAAAAAAAAATAAATTTTATATCAAATACTTTTACTCTCTATTTCTAGAATGAATTAGGTATTGCATAAAATAGAATAAGTTTGATAGATACGATAAATTTAATATATTTATAAATGAAATTTTATAATATAAATATTCTCCATGGCGACTGAATATTTAGATTAGCCAAGTATATAGACGCCCTGTGATAGCCCTCCCCATCAATGCGGTGGTTCTCTTTGATGTTAATTATCTAGCTCTATTTAATTTAGGGGTTAGTTAATTAGTTCGCAGGGAGATCTTAGTTAGGTTAGGTTAGGTAAACATAACGTCACTGGATGTTCCCGACAATATTTGAAGTTAGTTTTACTGGCGATGACAGCAGGACTGAAGCGCCCAGCGTTTCTGTTATCTACCAATGGTAGACGTCCATCAATACACAATGTCTACTTATTTTATTGAAATATTACCCTCAAAGATTTATTTGGAAAATAATTATTCTTTAAAAATATTTTTGAATTTTTCGATATATTCTTATTCTTCTTCTTTCTTATCTCCACTCAATTATATTAGGGTATCAAGTTTGTAAAGCTTGAGACTGAGTAGTGCTCCGACTCTTAATGACAAATGTAGACGCTTTCTATTTCACCCAGTCATGATGGTTGTCAATATTTCCCCGATTTTTGATATAATAATATTGTATGCCAATTTTTATTGAGGTATTTGAAGGTAAAGCGTCGAAATATTTTCTACATATGTAGACATGTGATTGCATTTGTAGTTATAGCAGTCAGACTACTCACCATGATTTAAGGACTTTTTCCAAGAAATCGTCGCAGCGGGCTCCTCATCCAACATTCAGCCATGTGCTAGAGTGAGAGTGCACTAGCCTGAAGTCAAATGAAGACTATTCGCATAGGAACATGGCTACCTCTATTTAGAGGGGGCAGCACCCGGGGAGGTGAGGTGCAATATAGCTCTCCTGGGATCGCTATGGTCAATCGGGCACCATGGTGACCTGGCTTTTATCTTTTCTTATCCCTATGCTTCTTTGGGCTCATGAGAACCGAGCTCATATGCTAATGGTGACATCAGAGAGGGCGGACCATTTTGGGAGTCCGTTTTCAATCAAGAACTGGCCTGATCGATTTTTATGTTATCTCAGATTCTAGATAATACCAATGACACCTGTTATATTCGAGCTAACTGAGTGCCGCGTCCTTCTTTTCCGGTGGTAGATTTACTTGAAAGCCATTTTGAAGTTACATCAGGCTTGGTGTTTCTTGGTGTCTCTTTGAAGACATTCCTATATATTCAACATTATATATGTACAACAAATATGATACGAC